TTTTTCAAATGTTTCTCTAAAAAAACGTTAACATTGAATCCTGTTTGGATCTAAGTTAACTATAGGTCACCTCCGAATCAATATTAGGTACAAGCAAATATGTTCATCATCCAATAAACATGCATGCAATAACTAAAATGAACGTGTTTTGCTTTTTTATATTTGATATGGTTAGATAGAAAAAAGCATTATGCTTTACCTTTTCTGACACTAAGTGTTTCTATATGGGTGTATTGAAGCTAAGCTATACTAACTGGTTCATAATGAGAGATGATTTCTTCATCCGTCCGATTAAATCGATATCCCAGAGGTAAATCCAGTAAGTTCATGTTCTAATTCATATCGATATGCGATTTCCCATTAAAATTTCTTTATTTTTGTCCGTCGTTTTCCAGTGACCAGATTTAGTTGATCGATTCATCGAGACACCTTATTTATGCTTTTTGACCACTGGAGAGATGATTTCTTCATCCGTCGGATTGAACCGATATCCCGGAGGTAAATCCAGTAAGTTCATGTTGTAATTCAAGTTTTTTTAATAAATTCATGACTTTTTATGATACACGGGAGAAATTACAGATAACAAATATCAAATGGTATATCTCCCACTTAGATAAATATATTTATTTTACAAAATTTAATTTGCATAACACTTGAATTAAATGTAAGTATTTTTGAATCGTTTTTATGTAAATCGAATACATTTGAAATTATCGTTTTTTAAAAATTCAAATCATTACAATTTTATTTTTAGCGAAGGTAAGAATCTGCTTCCTAATATTTATTAACTTTAACACGTTTTCCCAATTCATCTAAAGAAGATGTCATTTTCAACTCAGCAATTTCTTATACTAGATTTTCATCTGCGCCCAAGCGCGAAACAAATAATTAGGTTGACTAATCAGTTTTAACATATTTTTTAATATTAAATGTGCATGACAAATCATATGATTTTCAATATCTACAAACGTACAAAAAAGATATGTATTATGCATAAATATTATAAAATTAAATACTTATTATCAAACATATGTTAATGCCATTAGTTTTAATAATTTTAAGTGTAAAAATGATCAAAACATATACAAATTTTATTTATTTCAATATCTTTAAGTGTAAATATCTCATTATATCTTAATTAAGCTTTATGTTTTTTGTTATGCTTTATAAAAATGATCATAACATTAAGCCTTTGCATTTTTGTTTGTTTAAATTTATTTTGTGTTTTCCTTATATTTTACTTATGTTTTGCATGGAAAACAAATTATTCTAATTTTATTTCAATTAGAAAAAACTGTTAAAATTTAAGTAGAAAAATACATGATCTATATGCTTTGTCACTAAACAAAAATAAACCATGCTTATATGATTTATCATGATAAACTAATGTTTTGTTTACATTATATATATGTCATGATAAAAAAAATTTAATTATTTTCTAATCTATCTTTATAGTATGCTTATAGTATCATTACTTCTCATTTTTTTTATCATTTATCTTCGTCTCGTGAATTTATATATGATTTTGATTTTTGTCCATCATAGTGAAATATTTGAGATTTTATGATATTATATTTTAAACGTTGGTCTTTCAAGTAGGTTGAAAAATAAAAGAGTTAAGATAATGTTTTAAGTTAAATGTGTGGTTAAACAAAATGAAGTTATTTGAATGTAAGATTTTATTTTTACTGAAGTAAAAATCTTTTAATAAGAAATAGACTGTTCATATTTCATGAAATATATAGATCTTAGGAATAATATAGAGAATATCTTTTTTCTTCTAACATTTTAGAAAAATATGATTACATCAGCTGATTTTTACAAATTGTTTCAACTACAAATCATAAACACATTTTTAGTTTTTTAATATGTGTGAA